AAATTCTATTCAGTTATTAATTAAATTATATTTTAAGAACTAAATTGTATTTTATTAATAACACATAAAAATTTAGTTGTAACAAAAAATATTATAATAAATAATAATTACATTCAAAAAAATTATTTTAATTTAAGAAGTAAATTGAAAGTTATAATTTAAATGCTTATCAAATTAACCATACTACAAGAAAATCACGTATTACCGACGGATTTTTACCGATGGATTTGTAGTCGTCGGAAAATAATTATTACCGACGAAATTATCGACGGATATAAAATATTTGTAGAATTTGATCTTACCAGACGGATATATCCGTCGATAAAATAATAATTAGTTACTGACGGATATATCAGTCGGTAATTACTAGATGAATTTACTGACGGATATATCCGTCGGTAAATCCATCGATAAATTAACAATTAATTACCTACGAATATATCCGTCAATAAATTCATCTGTAAAATAACAATTATTTACAGACGAATATTTTCAGTCGATAAACTAACAATTAGTTACCGACGAGATATATCCGTCGATAAAATTATATAAAAATATTTAATTATATATAAATATATAAATATATAAAAATATATAAAAATATTTAATTATGTATATATAAATATATAAATATATAAATATATAAATATATAAATATATAAATATATAAATATATAAATATATAAATATATAAATATATAAATATATAAATATAATAATTCAAAGGTATAAAAATATAATAGGGGTAAATAATTAATAATAAATACTAAAAATATAAAGGGAAGGGGGTTCTATAAAATAAATAAGCTATAAATAAGTAAAATGTTTAATAAATAATAAAAATATTACCGACAAATTTACATCAAGTCGGTAATTTCAGTAAGACATTTACCGACGAATATATCCGTCGGTAATTACCAACGGACTATTAAATTTGTCACTAATATTTATCGACAATCAAATTTCCGATAGATTTTTTGCCGTTGAAAATTTGTCGATAATATCCATTTACCGAACCGGATTTTTGTTATTACCGACGGATTTTGACCGTCAAGTAGTATTAAAATTTCTTGTAATTATCTATTTTATTTCATAATACTAAACTCACTTCTCTTCTTATTCCAATGTGAACCCTCTTCTTATTCCAATATGAACCCTAAACGTTAAGGCTACATATTTTAGTATTATTATTTTTAGTATAATTTATTATCTTATATGACAACATTTGATGTTTTCCTTAAAATCAAGGGTCTAGTGTATTAAAATACTTTATTGATTTAGAAGTTAATCATTTACATATATTTTATTTTAAGATGTAAATTGCTGTATTCATTGCCCGTCATAAATATATAGATACTATACCTTTCTTTTTCAATTGTTCAATCATATGTATTTATCCACACAAAAAATTTATCTTTATATTATTTAACGAGTGTTGCATGAGTAAATAATCGTTTTAATGTTGAAATTATAAGAAAAGATATAACAAAATTTTTGTAGGCTTCCCTTTCCAACATCATATGTTCCCCTTGTTAGGATTTTAATTTTTTGGAATGATAAAACGGAGTTTAGGGGACGATCCTTTAGTTGGTGACTGGTTAATAGTTGTACTACGTGAACTTTGGCTATTTTTTTAAAAATATTTATATATTAAAAAGAATAGATAATTAAAAATATTAATTTATTTATGTAATATTATTAAAATATGTAAATATGTTATAATATTATAAATTAAATTATAAATACTAATCAATTATGTTCCAATTATTGATTATAATTGAATTTTTAAATATACAAATATAATAAATTTTTAAAATTTATTTAATAAAAGTATTAATTAATGAATAAAATTTTAAAATTATTTATATAATTAAAAGTATATTTTAAAAAAATATATTAATAGAATGATCCCGTTAATTTCTCAACCCGTCTTTTAGTATGATATATTAAGGTTTATAATATATCCATGATCAGTTCATTACATTCTGTTTTTACGGATTAAAGACGAGACCGATAAAAAAAAATTACCTATTTTATCATCTTAAATCTTTCTCCGATTCTCATTTCAATTTAAAAAATAATATTTAAAAAAAATAAATATAAAAATTTAAGTAGATAAAATTTAGTCATAATTAAATTAAACTGATTATCGTCAACTCAAAAATTGAAGCAGTATAAAACATGCAGCAACAGGAGCTATACCTATAATTGACTTTTCAATAATTATAAAAATTTATATCACAAATTAAAATTATGTAAAAGAAAATTAGAATATTCGTGATAAATTGTTATTAAAAGTTATTTTTGATTAATGGTTGTATAATGTGAAAATAATTTAAAATGTTCTGTGCCTTGGTTATAGAAAAGTTTTCCCCTTGAAGGGATTTCTTTATGGGATTTCTTTATGAAGAGCCTAAGGCTATAGGGTCATTCGTTTTCTTCGTTCCCAAGCGGGGAACAATAAACACTTAATCAACCTTCAACATATTAGGGTTTTTTTTTTACATAATATTAAATTTAAATCGCACATTCTGACATATATTATATTACCTTACCTCGGCTATTTCTAGAACTATGGAATGCATTAATTTTTTGTTTGTTTGTTTGTTACTATGTAATACATCATGTTCAAATTTGCATCATTCCCCCACTAAGAAACGTGCCTTAAGTGAAGTTTCTTATTAATGGAAATTAATATAAACTAATGCGAATCTGATTATTTTAAAGGATAAAAGCATCACTATGCAGCATGTTTAAAAATATAATGTGGATCTGATTCATTTGCCCTACACCTAATTAATTTCAAATCCAACCTCACTCACAAAATATAGTTAGAACTTGTTAGATATTAATTAATCTTTACTATTTTTCTGATGCTGATATATTTTCTTTACTATAAAACCCTTCTTTTTTTTAATGAAGTTGAATCATTCGATTCAATTTTCTCTCTCACCGATTCTATGTTTGCAATACCCTCCTCTTGTTTCCCTTAATTCAATTGGTTTTCCACTTAGGTCTTTGTGAAAATGACCCTAGTATTGTTTCGTGTTGTTAACATATATAATATAAATTTATAGAATAATCTAAAAAATATATTTTACATTCTTAAAATAAAATATAGATATTTGTATATAAGATAATCATTTCAAAATATATGAAAATAAAAGACAATTTTAGACCTAACAATTTTTTAGTTAAATTTTTTTAATTATCTGGACTATAACCATCACGATCGAAGGTAGTTTATCAAACTATATTAATAGAAAAATTAATATTAACTCTTTCGCATTTCAAATTCAATATATCTTTCTATAAGTTACCAATAAATAAATATCTCAATTGTTTCTATTATCCTGAAATATTAAGTGTGGATCATCCTTCGGTTATTTTATTGATCAAAATATAATATTTTAATAATGATTTTCACAAAGAATTCCGTGGTTGTATTCAGAAGGAAAAGCCCAATTAATTTAAATATATATATAAAAAAATAATCTTATAACGTCTTTTATATCATTAGAGGTAAAAAAACAAAAAATAATTATAAAAAATTATAAACAGCAGTTAAATGTCTTTATTTTTGTTAGGTATTTTCAATGGACTAATAACCAAATATTTATATAAATATGATTTAAATAAAATCACTTTTAATTCAAAATCTTAAAATAATAGAATATGAATTTTTTTATTTATAAGTTAATTAAATTTTTTATTTCTATTCAAGGTGGGACTTTAATTTACATTTGAATTCTCAACCATTTTTCATTCTTTCACCTAGGGACATTATCTTTGAAGCGAGACACATTTTTATCTAACTATTTAACCATAAATACCTAATAATGACCTTATTTGTACCGTCAACTCAACGGGACTCGCTTGCATGAAATTCTTGTCAAATACAAACCATCGGCTCTGACATTACTGTTAAACATTTTTTAAGGAACTAACAATAGAGAGATTCTCAGAAATGAGATATGAGCTAATCATATAAAAGAACATAACACCAATCTCAACAAAAAACTTTAAGTTAATAGTTTACAAGTCTTTCTCACTTAAAAATTACTCAATTTTTCTATTTTTATCCAATTCTCAACAATAAATTTTGAGCCATTAATATATGTATAACCTTAACCAACATGAAACTTGAATGTAAAAAAGGGGAGAGGAAGGGGTGAGGAAAGGGAGATATTGCCAAATATGCTAAACAAGAATTTCTGCAATGGTTCGTATCAAGGGATTGAAGAGTAAATAGCATGAACTTTTATTAATGGAATAAAAAGCTATTTGCTTAAAACGCAACGAAAGAGGTCGTAATTAACAATATAAAAGCCTTGTAAGCAAATGTAAATATATAATGAATGCAAAATTATTAAAAAGGCTTCTTAAAAATTGCAGCTAATTATTGGTACTAAATTAATTAACCAACATAATTTCGTCTTCCTATACGTAATTTAAATCTGTATTCCAGGTTCTATAACAAAAAAAGCAATTAAGGAAAAAAAAAAAAAATCCCTTGTGCTTAATCATGTACTTTAATAAACAAATGGCAATAACTTAAGCTCCATTAGTAGCGGTACCACTAAGTAACCACGGGCATTAGATAAAGTGTAGTTCCAGCATCTTTTTCCATTTCATTCTTCCACTTCCCACAAATTAATAGTTCTTTATGGTCTATTATATTATTTTCCCCACTCAAATAATTTTTGCGAAAACGTATTTAATTAACAACAAGTATATTTCTAGTGTAATTTCCCCCATCTTGGATACGTTATGTAAAAAGATTCTGTTTGTGCTACCGTGTCACAAAAAAATTGCACCCCACACACGTGATTTTCACCCTATAAATGCAACTTCTTAGTCCATAACTGACGAAACTTGTAGAAAGAATGTGCAAAGGATCATTGAAAAACAGAAGCAGCACTGAAACGCATACACCGCTCAAATCCCTTTGAAATTTGTTGAGAGATCATAGAGAAGAAATTAAGAAGAAGAAACCTAACATGGAATGGAAGAAGTATTATTTGGATGTTGTGTTGGTACCATTGGGATTTCTGATAACCATTGCTTATCATGTTTGGTTATGGCATAAGGTTCGTACCCAGCCTTCTTCAACCATAATCGGAATCAACACTCATGGAAGACGCTCCTGGGTCCCTGCCATGTTGAAGGTATTCTCTTCTCCATCAAAAAACATTAACAAAAATTATCATAATTTCCTTGTTTCTTTCTCATCAGCTAGATTATCCACTTCTTCACTTTCATGTTCATATTGCAATTACAATATATACTTTTTGAACATTTCGAGTACAACACTTTCTGATTTAAACTAGCTAGTCTCTGTTTTTATTACTTGGTGAATAGTTTCTTCGTTTCTGATAGGAGCCAAATACTGAAACCATTGTTCATCTTATTGCCTCGTGAACGTATGCATGAATCTAGTGAATTGTTGGTTATTGATGAGATCAAGCAACTTTTATTTATGATCCACCTCTGTCTTGCATTTTTTTAGCGACAAAATTCAATATAATCTGCTGCCACACTCTTCACCAGTTATGCTGTCAAATTTATAAAGATTTGTGAAAAAGGTATATATTACAAGTTAAACGTAATGTGTTTGGGAATATTTTGATACAGAATTGACCGTTCGAATGATTATAATTAAAATAATTCTCAAATTTGTTTAACTTATCCTGGGTTAATCTTTCTAAGCTTAAGTATGACAATAAGGGCACAGAGATCTAATCTTTTATTCCATTTTACTGACCTTGCTTATTTATAATATATATATATATATATATATATATATATATATATATATATATATATATATATATATATATATATATATATATATATATATACAGTCAAACCTTTTTACAGTTTCCCCTTTTAACCAAACATTATCCAATTTGTTATCGTTGTTCTTATTATATAAGTTATCATGTTCTATTTTTCTTTGTATTTGTGATATTTTCTCATTTTTTTAATTCTCTATTAAACGATAAGTGATCACAATCTTTGCATGATACTTCTTGGAATATTTATTTCATCTTAGTTATTCTATTTTATTTTATAATTACGTTCCGATATTTATTCTTTTGGTTTGTGTTTTAAATAAAGAAATGTATTTAACGTGTAAAATATGTTTTAAGTACCTTGGTTTTTGGCAAAAGAAAAGATTTTAGTTTTTACATTTTAAAAGTAATGATTTTGGTTTTTGTATTTTTTATTTTTTATTTTTATAAGTGGTAAATTTCGTCCCTCGTTTCAGTTCCTAAGTTCACAAAAGCGACAAAATTTAACCATCACAAAAAGAATACTAAACCAAAACCACTGCTATAAAGTATAAGATAATTGGAATGCCTAAAATTCCATTCATCCTTAATTGATTCACCAAGTTTGAATGACATAATTGCTAATACTTTTTTATTTTTAATTGTAAAGTTGAAGTGTAAGAAAAAAATGTATAGTTACTTTAAGAATAATTTAAGCATGAGTTAGGCCCAATGCCAAGCAAGCCTCCACTTGAAGCTGGGGAAGTTGGGGGGAAGAGACTTTATGAATATTGTTTTATTCTTATCTTTATGAATATTTTGGTTATGCTTAAAATTACTTTTAAAATGAGGCAGAGTAAAAGGGAGGGTGAGGTAAAAATAACAATAATTAATGAAGCAGGACCAGGTTCAAAGATATTGCTTTAGTAAATGGATTCCAGGGCCCTGTCTTTGCTGTGATGTTTATCAGTTTAGAATCTTGAAATGACAAACATACAAATATGAATATTCGAGAGAATCTGCATATAACTGGTTGCCCTAGGATGTGGGATTTTTTTATGACAATGGCTGGGGTGGCTTTTGCAAAATATGGCCCCATCACTTTCTCATAAAAGTGGGTTAGTAACTTCATATAAATAAAGTAGGTTAACGACAACGCATTTTGTTTCTGTGGTCTCGTGTTCATTACGAGCAAAAAGAAAACATGTCATTCACATTTCTCACCACAATCCATGATGCAAAGTGGGTCATCCTTTTTCAAGACTTACTTGTTTATCAATTAATTTATTCTGAGGAATATGAGTCTGTGCTTTAATTATATATATATATGTTTCTTTGCATTCTAGGTCACTAATTAACTAAACCATGTGTTCGGCACACTGTAACCAACATATTCCGCATTTTAAAAGACTAAAACAAAAACTATACCATAAATAAATGAAGGCATCTATATGTCTTTCTGTTTGGTTCTCTTCACATCAACCATGATTCAAATAAGAATACTGTCATCACCGACGCATGTACATGACCTAAACCTGAAAATACAACACTTCGATTAGAATTATTAAATTTTATGTTACTTATTTAAAATTTCACGTACAATAGTTTTTACTTCGTGAAGTGTATACAGAGGAGAATTGACAAAAAGCAAATTCTGTTCATGTCAGGACATTGAGAAGAAGAACATCTTAGCAGTTCAAACTCTTCGTAATATGATAATGGGATCAACTCTTATGGCCACCACATCCATTCTTCTCTCTGCTGGTTTGGCAGCTGTCATAAGCAGCACTTACAGTGTGAAGAAGCCTCTGAATGACGCTGTGTATGGAGCCCACAGTGAATTTATGGTGGCACTCAAATATGTGACACTTCTAACCATATTCTTATTCTCATTTTTCTGTCATAGCCTGTCGATTAGGTTTTTCAATCAAGTGAGCATCCTCATTTGCACACCACAAGATGTCATGTCCATGGTGACACCCCAATATTTGACTGAGCTTTTGGAGAAGGGAACTATTTTGAGCACTGTTGGCAACAGGCTCTTCTACTCAGCACTCCCTCTTATTCTTTGGATCTTTGGGCCTGTGTTGGTTTTCTTGTCTTCTGTAGCAATGTTACCAGTGCTTTACAACCTAGACTTTGTTTGTGGAACTGAGAAGGGCAAGGTCATGAAGAGTGACAAAGGGGAAAACTATGTTTGATGTGTTTAGCAAAAACCATAACATTAAATAGATAAGATATAATAATATGTTTATATAAGTCATTAGGTTTTGCATCATTTACAACTTTAAAGTTGTAAATGTGTTGTAATTTACTCGCACAGCCACATGCTGAAGCGTTTCCTAAATAATTCAACTTCCTTTTCCAGCATACCTTTCGTTGCTATTACCATTATTAACCCTTTAGCTGTTTTCTGATGGAAGCTTTTATCTTATGGCACTTGAAAATGACTCACACTTTTTTCTTTCCTTCTATTTCTTTTGATGGTAAAAATAATTAGTGGAAATCTGTTGTTCAAAATATTTTTTTATCAAAAAATAATAACGCAGGCCACTGTTTTTGTTCTTATTTTGGAGTTGTTGACAGATAAAGAAGGGCTAATTTATGTGAACCACAAGTTTAATCACCGCTTCTTTGTTTAAGAAAATGAATGTTCCCATCTAAGCTTTTATTGTTACACGTTCATTATTTTTCATAAACAAATAAACTCTATTAATGTGTAGCTCTATTTCCACCTACTATATAGGATTTGAAAACGGATAATTCTTTCCAGAATTTCTTTTATGAAGGATATATAAGATGAGAAAAAAAGGAAATTTGTGACTTAAATAAATTGGATGCCTGCTAGTTTTCCATTAATCTCTCTTAACTTACGTAGTTACTTTTTACTTTCGAATAGTGCTCATGTAAAGTCATCAATGAAAAAACAATTTGTTTAAGCAATTATGGCTTAAAAAGAACAAAAGCAAATCCAATACCAATTTAAAGTTGAAATGATTATTAATATTGACAAGATATGTGATATTATAGAGTCTACATTTGGTCAATTTTAAAGTTAAATCATTAAAAAAGAGAATAGCTTAAGTTACAAAAGAAAAAAATCTGCCAAGATATACACATATAAAAACGACAATTATGTCTTCATAATTTCTATCCGTCACGTTATAATTTATTTATAACGTGATTAATAAAAAGTATATTAATATACCCTCTTTTCTTTTAACTCATTTATATATTTTTTAAAAATAAAATTTATAATAAATAAGAATTTTAATATATAATAATGTTATTTTAGCAAATATGAGATAGGTATATTTTTTTCTTAAATAAAATATTAACGATTATTTTAGAATTGAGAATAAATTTAGCTTCATTCATAAGAGTTTATATTTCGATATATTCATCAATTTCATATCACTTAAAAATTAATGTTCATAATAATTTATATATATTTTTCTTCTTTAACTTATTAATATCTTTAATATTTTGAAGAACAATAAAAAAAACTAATAAGAATTTTTGGAGGTGAGATGACATTTATCTTATCAAATTTGTTTTGTCATCTCCACCTTTATTCTTCTTTTTCTCTCTTTAAAGTTGGTGTATGTATGTGTAGGCTAAAATGAAAAGAGATATATGTTGACAGAGGAATGGAAGGGGAAAGGAGAAAGGGGGTTGGGCATACAAAACTTAAAGAAACATTTAATGTTGCACTACATGGATAATGGAGGCGGAGAATTTTGAATGAGTACCATAGCATGTGGTGTTAAGAGTGCTGAAATCAAAGTATGGATTTTGTGGGGATTTGGGTGATGAAAGGGCATTTAGTAATTTAGGGAACATAAGTGGAAGTAATGATGAAGTTCTCATATCAAAATTGGACCAGAGAAGATTTTTGCGAATAAAGTAAAAGAAAATAGTCAATTTATATAAGACAAAAAACAATGCTATTTAGGTGTGGTGGAACTTCTCATTTAACATATTCGCTACCATTTGTGTAGACGAAATTAGTAAAATTATCAATAAAGACATTGAGCAATATTGTAAATACATACTTGCTATTCCTCATATTTTAATATTTTTAAAACGGATTAATGCTTTAACCTAGATTTAAAGTTTAAAAATTTAATTAGAGTTAAATTAAATTTAATAAATAATATTTTTATAATATAATAAATATGTAATAAATTTATTAATAAAAATATTTTTTATAAAAAAATCAAAATAAAAATTATTATCATAACTACTATAAATTATAATAAAAATTATAAATATAAAAATATATTAATGAATATAAGATGAATAATTATTAAAATAAAATAAAAACATGAATTATTATTTAAAATTGATGTAATTAATATATGAAATAAAAAATAAAAAAAGAATAAAATATATATCTTTTAAAAAAATTATATTAAAAAATTTTGATCTTTAAATTTATTTTTTACTAAAATCCATTCAATCCAAACCATCCATTCAATTTGTACTAATTTTTTAATTTAATTTTATTTTAATTAAAATTTAGTTATTTAAAAATAATAGACCAATGTTTGGATTGATTTTTTATTAAACCTAATCCGATTTTTAAAGCAGTGATTGTATGATTACCGTGGGAAGGTTGGTATGAAAACCCAAGAAGTTATATTCTTAGTTACCAGATATATGTGTGGAACCTACGTTTGCATCTAAGGCTCTTCAATTAATATGTCGAATGGAACTGATGAATTTACAGCTTTAATGAAAAATGGCACTTGCCAAAATGGATTTTCTGATTGAAAACAAATTAGGAACAGAAAATAAGAACAAATGATTATATTTTCCTTCATGCAAACTAACAGCTACTCCAAATTAGTTTAAACGTGCCTGTATCAACCGTAAACATAATTAAACAACCAAAGGCTAAGATATGTTAATATGTTTAAAATATTTTAATATTCTTTTAACATTTTATAAGTTCATCTTGACGACATTTAATTATTAAATGCTTTAAACTTGAATATATATATATATAAAACATGTCACACGCTACACAAATAAATTTATTTAAAATTTGTTGTATATAAACTAATTTTTATTGATTATTTGTAAGGATTACAACTGCATGTTTAAATACTCTAATAACTTTCTAAACATTAAAAAATTATCTAATTATCATAACCATTCTAATATTAAAGAAACGTTCATCAATTAATTATTAATTTTATCCTAATAAAATCTCTTATAAAATTATTTATTTATATATAAGGACACTTAGATCAACATAATACTGATCTTTCAACTCCTAACTAGCTTCAAAATTCTTTGATTTTCAAAATATGAGCTCGACTTGATATTGACCTCTTAACTCGACAATTTGCTAAATCAGCTTGACCGATTTCCCAATTATCGACTTATTGTACGTCAAAATTTCTTGGCCTTTAAAACATCTTGGGCTCCAAATTTTTTAGCTTTCTTCTAGTCGACTTGTCATCTTTTCGAGCACCTCGAGTTCCTTTTATCTTTTATTCCGATAATTTACATCACCACTCCAGTCATTGTCCAAGTACCCTATAAGTCGGTAATTGTCCGACCTCTTCGTCCCTGGTTCCATGGGAGTTGATATCGAATTGCAATCAGTGATCTTGAACTTATTCAAAATCTTCTTTGCATATGCGTCTTGGGACAAACATATTCTCGACTCCTTCTCGTCTTTCTCCATGTATCCAAGTGGTTGTTCATCATTCACCTTCAACTTGAGCACATCATCCAAAAGTGTCAACTTGACATCCACATGTTTCACTCCAACAACTTGATCATATCTCTCATCTTTCTTGAATACGTACTTCACACCAATAGGCCAAGCATAACTCAATAATTTGATCATCACCAACGTATCATTGTGTTCTCTAACTCGATCCTTCTCATCCATAACAACTCAGATCTTCTCTTTAATATCAACTCAGATCTTCTCATCAATAAGAGCTCGTATATGGTCACTTCAAAATTTGTTACTCAGACCTAACTCAAATTTCTCTCTATACTCAGCATTATTTTAAAGTAGAATCCTCACCTTTTTACCGACTACTCTTTTGCAAACTCTCCCCTTCATACTCACTAATCTAAGCACCATACTCTTCATGTTTTTCTTCAACTTCACTGATTGAGTTATCTCTTCCTCCTTGATTTCCAAACTTGTTACTACAGGTGGTGTAACAACTCGGGCTCTATCATCCTTTTCAGCTCGCCATTTTTCATCATGCATGACCTCCTTCTGTCTGGTGGCACATAAACTTGCCTTACTCAATCTCTTTCATTTGCATCACCAACTCGAACAATATCATGATTATCATCATGAATTAACACAAATATGCATGTGGCTAGATCGGTAATTTTCCTTCAATTTGTCATCTACATTTGATCTCATACTCCTCTCCCGAATGCTTCACAGTTGCAACTTGTACATTCTATTTTTCCTCATCTTTACTTGGACAATCAACCTTCCAAACTTGTCATTCAATTGTAGTACTCGATCTTTCATGAAAATCGAGTATCCTCTCTCCATTAGTTGTTTCACACTCAAAATATTACTCTTTAGATCTGGAACATCGAACACATCTCAGATCGATCCAACTAGGTCATTCTTTTGCAAGAAACAAACAATCCCTCGACCTTTTATCAAAACTCTCGAAGTGTCTCCATCATTGTAATTACTCGCACATGTGATTACTCCTTCTGCAAGAAACCTTTGTCTTCTTTAATTCTTTGAAAAGACGTTCATCGCTACACATGTGATTACTTGCACTCGTATCCAGATACCATATCGTTTGGTTATTGGTGGACTGAACTCCATCACTGTAATTAGCTCCCAAGTGAATGACTGAATGTAGATTAGTCATCATGAGCGTTGGTTCTTCTTGTCCTTCTGTGATATAGGTTCCACCTATCTTCTAGCATTCTTTGGTGAAATGTCCAATCTCACCACAATTGTAACACTTGACTAAGTAGCAATCGTTCACATAGTGGTCATACTTGTCACACTTGAAACACTCGATATTTGAATGGTTCGTCCACTGACCTTCTCTCTAACCATGTCCTTTACCTCGCCAATTTTGTTGAACTCCTTCATCCTTTTCGTCACCTCAGCCACCGAATCTGCTTCGACCTCCTCAGCCAGATCATCCACCTCGGGATCGACCAATATGTCCTTTTCCTCTACTATTCT